GATACATGCTCACCCTCAAATTTGTTAAAAAAATATTTTATGTATACTTATATTTATTATATTCTAAAAATAATACATACATTTTTTACTTATACGCACCCTATAATTTTCTTATTTCAATTGTTTAGTATTTTTCATTGTATTAATGATTTTTCTATATGACCCTAATTTTTTTTGGGTTTCTTGTTAAAAAAAATATTATTTATGAATTTTACAAGTCAAAATTCTTGCAATTGACCTTCATTTGATTTTTTTTTTCTACAAAAAATCATCTTTATTTCTATTCAAATATTGATATATAGTTTTTTATTTTGTGTCAATCGATTTTCAATTTTTTACTATTTTTAACTCTTAAATTTTAGTTAGGAGATAAAAAATTAGAGTGTGTAATTAAGGTCCATCTTAAACAAATGTTTTTGACTCCGCTCCTGAATATAACTATTAGATTTTTAAAGAATAATGAAATCTAACCAATTTTTTTACCCAAATTTAAATTTAAGTCTTAAAAATAATAAGGATTGTAGAAGCTCTTACTCTTAGTCACATAATCCTTCAAAATAATCTTTGGGGATGGTTTAGTGGTTCAATATGTTATTTGGTAATTTAGAAGTTTCAGAGTCAATCTCTTTTCACACCCCTAAAGGTTAGACAACCTTGTCCCTTTTGGGACATGCTTTAGATCACTTCAAGTCATGATGGTTAGTCGTTGAGCTCGAAAAGTAGTCGGCACAAGTCTAGATACCATATAGAAAAAAAAAGAACATAATCCTTCAAAATAACTTACATTCTGGCGTCGTGCGCTAATTTGTGCGAGCGAATTTTCCGTGAATTCACACTTCCATTTTATAAAATTCGCGAACTCAAAATTTCAATTCACAAATTATTTCTCGTATTTACTTATATTCTTACTCATTATTACTTACAAAATTTTATTTGAAAATTACTAACTCGTACATAAAAATACATATCAAACTAGAATGATATTTATAACTTATAATTATTATTTCAAGATTTTAGAATCAATATATATATTTAAAAAATAAATATTTTGTCACCTAGTGTTGCGTGAATTTTTTTTTTATAAGTTTATTTGTTTAAAATTTTATGGATGAATATTTATTTGAATGCATATAATATGACGTTTTCATTCACGGTACTCCCACTCTCAAATATTTTAAAATTTTATCATTTTTTTGCACTTTCGCTCTCACTCTTGCTTCCACTCCATTTTCTGCTCTGTGATTGAACTCTTATTTCTCATTAAATGCACATTTCTTTGTGCATTTAAATTCTTAAAATCACTCATAAAGTCTCACTTACATGAGATATACATGTCCCCTATCTTGTAGAGGCTAAAAATATTGGATGGAAAAAATTTGGAGGGGTAAATTTTATTAGAAATTTGATTAATATTAGTGATATACTTTCGAAGCCTATTTGGAGCTCCAATCACAATAGATCCACGTCGAATCACAACCACGATGCCATGTCATCGATCCACATCAAGCTAACATATTCCAACCGTCGATATCCAACTTACCCGGATCGACCCCTCATCATCGCCCATCACAAAAAACCCAAAAAATTCAAATTACCTCCAAAAACCCTATTCTCAAACTCAAACCCTCCCCAAACCTCCCCTATATAAACAAATCTCACCACATTTTTATAGGAATAACACCAACTCAATTCATTTCAACCACTCTCTATCGCAAAACTCAGAGTTTTCAATCTCTCATTTTTCTTCAAGATGTCTGGTTGTGGAAAGGGAGGCAAAGGTCTAGGAAAGGGCGAAGCGAAACGACATCGTAAGGTACTGAGGGACAACATTCAAGGGATCACCAAGCCTACGATTCGGAGGCTGGCTAGGAGGGAGGAGTGAAGAGGATAAGTGGTCTGATCTATGAAGAGACCAGAGGGGTGCTTAAGATTTTCTTGGAGAATGTGATTCGTGATGGTGTGACCTACACTGAGCATGCTAGGAGAAAGACGGTGACTGCCATGGATGTGGTCTATGCTTTGAAGAGGCAAGGCAGGACTCTTTATGGGTTCGGTGGTTAAAGTTTCTGAGTATGTGTTTGTTATGGGATGTTGGTAATGTAATGTAACAATATCTCTAAAATTGAAATTGAAGAACCCTTTGATTTTATGCCCACTTCTCTATTTATTTTGTGTTGGACTGTTTTTAAATGCTTTGATATCTCAACAACATACGAATCCCATATTGTCTGTCATATCTTTTTGTGTTGATTGATTATCTTGATTTTTATTTTATATTGTTTGGGCATGAGGGTTCGGATTTGTTTTTGTACATGCAATATGAAGGTGTCATTTGATGGGACACTTTTGAGAATGAAGCGAATGACCAACACGTGTCCTCTTTTTATTCTAGCAAGGACACATATCATCGGCTTCGATGGCGTATGTTGCTCTTTTGCAAGTGCTTATGCTCGGTGCTGAAGTGTTCCTCCTCCCTATGACATACATGTGTCCTCGGCTCCAAGGGTGCCTCCATTCCGAGGGAAACTATGTGCCCTCACCCCCAAAGGTGCTCGCCGAAGTTCAAATCAGGCCACGTGTCCTTGGGGTTCTGGAAAGGCTACTGATTGACAGATGAACAGTCTAAATTAGACTAGAAATCATGAGGGTGCTTTGCATAATAAAAGTCAGAACGACATAATGAATTGGACACTCAACCAGAGAAAGTCAGACGCGTGGCATAAAGTACAGTAGCTTTGGAAGCATTTAATGAATTTACGGCTACATAAATACCCCTGCTGATTTACGGCTATCCCAGGCAAGCATTTAATGAATTTCAGGTGATGGGACATCCACAGTAGCTTTGGAAGCTAAGGATATGTAGTATTAAATGCTATGAGATCTGAGCATTTAAGAGTCTTTGCATCAAGGAAAGAGCATTAAATACTTGGAAGCCCGAGCAATTAATAAAGGGGGCACCCCCATGCAAAATATAAGGTGCACTGCCCAATATCTGGACACTACTTATTGACTAGACCATCTGTAATGATGGGTCTTGGGGGTATAAATAGTTATCCAAAACACATTGTAAAAGTATGCAAAATTATCCCTCAAGAATACCAAACAATGTCTTCTTGTTCCCTTTTCTCAAAAAATTGACTTGATCATCGAAGGGGATACGCCAAAAAATACTCTGACGCTCTTCTAACCCTTTTTTTTGTGTTCCAAGAACCGCCTACAATGAACCAGAATAGAGTGGACAACCCCTGAAGTAATTTATCACCACTCCTTAAATCGTCTTTGACTCTCTCAACTTATTTCTTGTTGTGGGATCGACCACTTCCTCGTCCAACACGAGCTCATCAATGGTTGATGTGATATCCTTTGCTAGGCTTTCTTATACAATTTATTGAACATCAAATGGGAAGGGAAGGTGTAAAAACATTAGTCAAAATGGTTGAAAAATTAAGATACATTGTTAAGGCAAGGCAAGGAAACCTGTCGGAGCATAGACGTGTCCCTTTTTTTTCAGATTTAATTTATTTATTTTATATACGAAGCAGCTGTCAACGTGTGTAATTTTTTTTGGGGGGAGTTGTGTAATTTATTCTTCTATTTTTGTATATTTGTGGGCGTTAGAAATTTATAATTTTTGACCTTCTGTACACCGACCATAGTTATACAGGGAGCAACACCGTGTCTGTGTGTGTGAGAGAGAGATGTGCACGCTAGAGAAGCGAGGCAACATCTTCATCCTAACCCTAACCGGCAACGATGAGCACCGGTTAAACCCTACCCTAATCGACTCCATCAGAGCCGCTCTCCAGCGAGTCCGATCCCAAGCGAATGGTCCATCAGCTCTAATCACCACGGCGCAAGGCAAATTCTTCTCCAATGGCTACGACCTCGCATGGGCCCTATCCGACAAATCTCGCCTCAAATTCATGTCCTCCAAGCTCCGATCTCTCGTCTCCGACCTAATCACACTTCCGATGCCCACCATAGCCGCCGTCACCGGCCACGCCTCCGCCGCTGGCTTCGTTTTGGCTCTGAGCCACGACTACATTCTAATGCGCAAAAATAGAGGGTTTCTCTACATGAGTGAGCTAGATATTGGGTATAAAGTTCCGGCTTGGTTCATGGTTCTGTTGAAGTGCAAGGCCGGGTCGCCGGCGGCTTGGCGGGAGGTGGTGTTGAAGGCGGCTAAGTTGAGGGCTGATGTGGCGGTTGAGATGGGAATTGTTGATTCGGCACATGATAACCCGGCTGAGACGGTGGTGGCTGCGGTGAAGTTGGGGGAGGATCTGGTGTTGAGGAAGTGGGATGGACATGTTTATGGTGAGAATAGGAAGACTATGCTTGCTGACGTGTTGGCTAAGCTTGGTTTTGATGAGACTGTGGAGGTTGGTGACAATGAGACTCCTCCTTCTACGACCAAACATGTCTCGAGACTTTGAACAAAATATAATGTTGTATCTCTGTGAACCTAAGATAAATTACTGAGTTGATCTATTGGCTGTCGTCTCCCTTGTTGTACCTTCGTATCTGTTCGTCATTCCTTTTTTTTTAGTTGTGTCCGACAAGAAAAGTAATTATTGAATTATCATGTATTTTCCAAGCTCCAAATTTTAAGCATTGTAACTATTTATAGCATCTCTAATCATAACTTAAATTTAAGAAATTCTGACAAAGAAAGATCTTACTGATTCTGATAAGGACTCATCGTAGATGATGTGTAACCATTCTTAGCAAAAAGCAAAATAAAAGTGCCATGATATAAAATAGACACCACCTCTAACGGCCACAGGAAAAGGATACAATCTTTTCACATCAATGAGAGGGAGTTAGAAAAAAACAAAGCTTCGAAGCCAAACTCTATTATGGTAAAGCTGATAAGTGGAAGTAATCTCTGTTAAGCCTAGCATTTGACATTCATATGCATGCATAAAGCAGTAAAGTACCTTACTGATGTAAAATAAATATCTGAGAATTTGGATTATGAGGTTACTGTTCTGAGAATCATACTTCTTGTCTTTCAGGGAAGATTCACCTGTGGGTACCTTCCACCACGTCCTCGACAACTTTTCCAATACCGTCATTACAGGTATGACAGAATAGTAGATTTTTCCAATTTGTTTGTCCTAATGTTCTAGATGTTAATTAGGTGTAATTTCCTCAAATGTTCGATGATTTACCATCACGCCTTAATGAGCTAGCTTCAGTAGACTTTCCGTGCTAGTTACTCGCTCTGTGTTTTATGCATATCGCCAACCTCAGTAATCTTATTCTTTTCCTTTTCATTTACTCCACCTAGGATAGTAGTGATGGTGGCAAGGATGAAAAATATTACTAGTAGCTTCATTCCCCCCTCCCCCTCCTCCTCTCTTCCTGTGAAACCAATAATTTCTGATGCCAATTTCCAATCCCAACTCTCGAGTGTCAAAGAAATTAATGCCAACTTGTTGGTTTTAGTTTTATTGCAGTTTTCTGCATTCAATAATCGGTGTTCTTTTACATAACTAGGAGTATGTTTGGTTCTAACTGTGCTGTTGCATTTGAGTTCTGATCAATTGGCATCATGGTGATAGCAATTCACTTGATTGAATTGGTTGTATGAGCTGTTGAGCATTAATGATCACATGCACATAGGAAGCTGAAACTTACTGTTTACATGGTTCATCTCTCTCTCACTTTGAATACTTTGATGTGTACCGGTGAACAACAACCTTTACGGTTAAACCCAGTGGAGGTTGGTGAAGTTATTGCTGCGGTTTGCTCAGAACCATCTTCATCAACAGCTAATCTCATGACAGTCTCATCTAAATTCAGTAATAATAGTAGAAAGCCATCAATGGATGTGGCTGTGAGCGTTCTCGTCAAACTTGTAATTGACATGTATGTTCTGGTATAGTTATTTTCCTTTATCAGGGCATTTCATTCTCAAATTGTTCCTTTCCTCCTTGACCCCCATGCATGTGAGGGGGTGGGGTGTGTTGGGTATGCAGGGGATCACAAAACAAAGCTTATTCAACCATGAAATTCAATCTCTGGCATGAACTCTAAATTCTAAATAGGTTTACTGTGTGAGGGGATCTTCAAGCCATCTGCCCAATAAACAATGGCATTGGTTGATGCAATTTTTAGCTGATGTCTTTTTACTTGTTCTGCAAAATTTACTATGGGAGATTACCATTGCAAAAACTTTGTTTTTTAGGTATGTTTTGGATTCTGGGACTGCTGCTCCTCTCACTTTATCCATGCTTGAGGTGCTGCACATTTGACATATTTGTTTGTTAGGTTGAAGATCTTGTTATATCTTCTTACTTTCATGAAACCTATTCACAGGAAATGCTTAATTCTCCAAGATTGGTCTCAAAAGCCCGGGCTTTTGATTTAATCTTAAATCTTGGGGTTCATGCTCATTTATTGGAGCCACTAGTACCTGGTGATGGATCCACTATTGAAGAAGAGTATTCTCAGGATCCATACTTTGACAATGAAGTGCAACTTGCCACCCAAGGAAAGAGAAAACCAGATTATTTTAAGAAGATGGGAAATTCCTCAGCTATTGAAAATTTCGAGATTTGGATTTTGAGCATTCTGTATGTGATTCTTCTTCATCTTGTTCAGGTACAGCTTTGAAATGTTATACTCAAAGAACTATGCTGTTTCAGAACTTCACAATGGTGTTCTCTGTTACTGTGTCTGAATTGATGAAGGAACATTTTCTACATGGTGAGGTGCACGTTTCAACCTATTCTTCATACCCAGGATACTCTATGCTTGGAGGCTTTAAGGAAGCAGCAATTTCTAACTGCACTCTTATGGTTGCTTTTTTAATTTTTTTGCTTTGCCTTATGAATATCTACCAAAAATTGCAATATACGTTATCCAACTCTGTGCTTCTAAGATAATCAGATTGCTCTTTTTTCTGAGAATTTCACTGGTTGTTAAGACTAATTAGTCAATTATTAGTGAAGTGTGGAATGAGGTTGTTTATTGTAATATTTTTGTTATTATTATTACAACTACTAGATAGTAGATTTGAAGCGGTGGCCTCTACTCCCTCAAGGTGGAGTTAACCATCTCGGATAGACCTGTAGGTCTTGTTTATTAGAATATTACTACAATTGAGAAATAGAAAATCACAACGCTACCTGGTCAGCAGTTGGCTTGCAAGGGAAAAATGGATGGACTATCCTGTAGAGATTTGGATAATTGAGCCAAGAAGGTTATGTTAGCAGAAACCTCGAACATTCGTCATATACATGAAGGCCAGAAGAGTTTCTCTTTAGAGTAGGTCAGATTTGAGATATTCGCCACCTACTGAAGAATATTTGAAAACAGTTTCCACCGACAAAGGAATATTATATGTCCAAACTGTATTTCTAGGAATGGAAATCAAAGGTTGATGAGGTCCGTGGTAGTTTGTTTCAAAAAATATTTTCTATTTAATTAGCCCATACTGAGGGGGAATTCAGTGGCATTTCCTGGAGGTCTGAAATGGGTTTGTTATTATCTTTATTGGAGAGATTTAAATTATGTTGGAAAAACTTCACTTGCAGAGTCTAGGTACTAAACAGCTTCACAAGTATGCTTTAAAATTTGCCAGAGGTTTTAGAGAGTGCGCCCGTTGACAACAAATTGGGCAATGAGGCTAAGGCTGGGGCAAGCTTGAGCTCTTGATTTGTATGTTTTTTTCTTTGAATTCATGGATGATAGAGGGTACACAGACCCAAGACTTTGGCCCTGTTGAGCGTTTACTATAGTTGACCACATCTCTCTTTCTCTTTGAAGAGGGGGTAGGTTTGATTGTCAGTCTCTTGTGGGCACTAATGAATGATTGTATTTTGGATGGAGAAATGTTCTCAGATGGCATGGGAGGTTACCATTATGCATTTTCCTCGCATAAAATCAATTCAAAACTTTCTAATAGAGACTGTAGGTTTCATTTCAAATATAGACCTTATATCGGAAAGCCATTATGTGCAAGAGATAAAGCGATTATAAATCACCTTACATAAAAATTTTCACTTACTATATATATGATGTAGCATGGAGTGGCTAATAATTAGGAGAAGCCTCTCTTTAGCAATTAAATTCATGTCTTTTTGCAAAGAATAAAATGGCTCTTGCTTTGTGACTTAGTAGTGGTGCCAAATTGGATTGATAAAATCAGGTAATTGCAAAAAAATTATTTTCCATTGTTTGACAACCTACAAAATTACTTCGGTATAACATACTGTTTTCAGACAATGACTTCTTATGTCTCAGGAATTCATACAGATGCAATTACAAAGTGATCTTAAAAAAATTCATAGGATTAGGCTTAATGGTTAATATGAAGTTTTAATATTTCTGGGATACTTGCAAGAATATTTAGAATAATGATACTAGCACGCATCCCATTGCCAGTAGAAGCATTGAAGGTTGTGGCATAATAACATATAAGGATGGTTGTGTGGCAGTGGGCCTAATGTGACAGCGGCATTGCATAGATTAGGTATTACTTGTATGGCTAAAGTGTCAATCCTATTGTTCATGTCCTGTCAAAAAGGTTAACTTAGAATTGAAATTGGCCCCTCCGACATTCACTCACCGCACATTTGTCTTATACAAAATGTCTGCACACACACATCTTTAGTAAACCATTTTATCCTATACGTACTCATCAATATTCAAGATTGAGAAATTATGGGCTCATTTGTAGCTTCACACACCCATTTATTTTTTATTCTTTTTGGGGGGATGGGGGGGGGGAGACTTAAACTCTTGACCTTAAGAAGGCAAAACCTTCACAAAGTAAGGAGTATCATTTGACCAAAAGCCCGTTGGTATGCAGACCCCTTTGTTGCTTTGTTTTTGTGGTCCGAATCATTTCAACTAGCACGGGTAAGTTGGGTGATTCAAAAGACTTTTTTTTTTTTCCCTAAATTAGTGGAGAAATTTGATTGGTTTGGAAAGCACAAGAACGGGGTAACCCTTTGGAATTGTACAATTTTTGCAATAATCTTGGTAATTTGATTGGAAAGAAATTCTAGGATATTCAAAGATAAAGATTATTGGAAGGAAGTCTTGTGTGTCGGGATTTATTTCTTGGCTTCTCGTGTGCTTCACAGCTTCTAAGGATTTTGAGGGTATTATGCCCTCTTGTATTGTGGCGAATTGGAAAGCATAATATATTCCATAGTTATATTGTATTTCTTTTCTGTTTTTTCATTTCTTGGCTCGACAACTTGTTCAACCCAAGTTCTCTTTGATATTCTCTTTTCATATTAACAAAATTGTTTAGTTTCCTATCCAAAAAATATATATAATAACTTCAGTGGTTGAAGACAATAGTTGCTTGAAGTTTTCAAGCTACTTTGTGATCTCTACACAGTAAGAGATTAGCCCGGGTGTTTTCTTTTGTCGTGCATAATCAATGGTAGAGCTGCTGGAATTGCTTCTTGAGTGGTTCAATATGCTCCAGCAATTGTAATGCGTTTTACTAACTTTGTTGGAATGAACAGAAACCATTTGTTTTGTTGTCATCCTTTGTTTGATTATGATCCAACCTATAAATTGCTTCTGGGTTGTCCAACATCTCTTTGGTTCATGAATAAATTATGGTATGTACTTTGTTAGTAACATTTGATGATCTAAGGCTCTTTACCTTCTAACTACATTACAGATGGAAGAGAAGGAAGAATCTGTATGGGCTTCTGCCCTGAGCTGTTTACTTTATTTTGTCTGTGATAGACGACAAATTCGGAGGAGCAGGTTAAAAGGTCTTGACATAAGAGTGAGTGATCGTTTTTCTTTGCTTCGTTGTGATTACGCCTGCTTCTGTGATTTGTATGCTCCTCATAAATGGCAGTTAGTAGAATGGAATATGTTTACACCTGCTGTAAAACTGGGGTAAAGTGAAGAAGAAACAGACTTGATAAACAAAAACAGCATCCATAATGTAGGGAACTATTTTTTTGGTTCTCTCCATTATTGGAAGAAAGTGGTTCTGGGACCTAACTGGGGATGAAGGATGAGTTCCACTTTCATTCTAAGAAGAAATGCTATAATAATAACCCACTATTTGAGTTATGAACTATCCTTATCTTCCTTCTTTAGATTTCATCCTCTTATCCATTCAACTCATAGTCGTCAATTCAAAGAGAGTGAGATTAAGAATTGTCACTAATTCTAGGATGGTCTTTATTTTTGTTATTTAAATCCCTCAAATTTCCAATTTACGTCATGCTAGTCTACTAAAAACGGCAGTTTAAATTCTAACAAAAGTGGTCACGTGTGTCTCATGTGACCACACTTGAGAGATCACTTTGATCTCTCAAGTTTCCAATTGTTGTCACTTTGATCCTTATTTTTTCTACTTTGTCCGCTACTTTCAAATTTTTATTACATTCATCCAGTAAGTGTGGTCATAAGAGAAACATGTGGCCACTTCCATCAGCTAATTTTAACCATCTTTTTCATTCTATTTTGTTGGACCAAAGTGAACAAATTGGAAAATTGGGGGACCAAAATGACACATTTAAAAGAATGAGGATCAAAGTGACAAAAAGCATAGAGGGACCATTTCTATAGGTTGCCTTTTTTTTTTTTAATTTTTTACACTTTTTATGGACAGGAAATTAACATAAATTAAAAATTGTGATATGTCTAAATTGAAAAACTTTGTGCAGTGAAGTGAATTAAAGATTCATACATACGAGAAAACCCAGAAAAGAAAAATGTAGCCATCCCATTCATATTTGATATCTTCTCATAGGATGAAAAATATTTTGCGGTTTTCTCAAAACTAGAACTGGCTTGCTTGGGTTTCCTAAATGGTGTCGGAGTAACTGCCCTTTTCAAATTTGACTTATGTGGAGTAGCTTGTGTGCTGCAACTTGATTCAGTGAAGAATCTTTAGAAAGAGAAAACAAAAATGATGGAGAGATAAAGGCTTTTTTGGGGCCTGGTTCTTATGTATCCTTTGTTATCATGGTGCCAGAACTTGTCTTTCTTTGGTGGCTTATAAAGAGAAGTGATTTATGCTGATCGGTGTGTTTTCTTATTTTAGTGATCATGCAACATAGTTGGAGCATATGGGTTGTATTGGTGCTAACATTGTCTCCTCCTTTTAAGCATTAGCTATGTTGGTATCCCTTTGAGTTTTGGGTTTCATTATTTACACTTCTTTCACTTGCAGGTTATTAAGATGCTTGTACAGATCAGCAGGAGGAATTCCTGGGCAGAATTACTTCACTGCAAACTTATTTGCATGTTGACGAACATGTTTTATCAAGTTCCTGATGGGTCTGCTGAAGCTGTTTCAAATACCCCATTGTTTCTTGTTGAGCAGGTTGATTTGATAGGAGGAATTGAGTTTATTTTCATGGAGGTGTTATGCTGGTTATTTCTTATAAAATCGATTTTTTTTTGTACGTAAATCTGAATACTTAAATCTGCTAAAATTAGTGATTACAATTAAAGAAGTTAAGGAGGACTTGGTTTTAGGCATCTAACATTTGACTCACTACAACTGGCAATACTTCTCTTGTTCGTTGTGAGAAGAAGCATTCGCCTGTATCTTTAACTTGTTGGTTGGCAGAGTTTGCTTCAAACTTTAAAACGTGATCGATTTATGTACATTATGTAGGGGACAACAAAGTGATAGTATATGCTTCTCATTCATGTGTTGTGCATTAAAGGAAGACGCATTGCAATCCCATACCTTTTATTGTTGATAAACATGTTGAATGGAACCAAATTATTGTGCCTTGAGGCCTGAGAACAATTCCACTAACACATCTGTTGACTCAGCTAGTGGTATGTGTAAAAGTGCAGCAGCTTCATTATTTAGGTGCAAGCAATTGCGGCTCTTACTTATGTGGATTTACACGGGGTGGCATGGATGTGCCTCCTATTAGAGGTTCTCTGATTATGGAATAGGTCTTATGTGAGGGAAACATGGTGGTGTGTTTGAGTGGTAGCTCTTTTGTTCTATTGGTGGAGCCTTTGGTTGGAGCAGAAAGAATACACCCCATGATATGTATATGTACAGTTCCTTTGGTTTAGGAGCTGGAGAAGAATTTTTGTTTCTCAGAGAAGTTTTTCGTTTGAGATATATATTCTTTTGTTTGTTAATATGGTAAATAGGAACTGTACATATCATAGGGTATATTGTTTTGTGTTTTTGCTTAGTTTCTTTGCACACTTCGTGTGTACATGTAATGTGCTTATGAATTTTTTAGTCAAAAGAACCAACCAATTTTTTTGCTATTTAAATCTGCTTTTGAGAATGAAGTTTTTGAAACATTTTACACTATTTAAAAAGTTATGTTTTTTCCCTACTTAAAGTACAAATTTGTACTTAATTTGTGTCTCCTGTATCTCATCCAGGACCATTAGTTTCTCACGTGTAATTATTATATATGCAGGTAGTGCTGTCAAACTAAAGGGAGGAAAGGAGAAATGTATACCTGGTTCTTTTTGACTATGTTTTGCATCAAATAAATGAGAGATGCATAGCTATCGGGGTTTCTGAATATAGTGATGATGAGATTCGACCTATTGCAATCTTGCTCAGTCTTGCAGATGCACCTGAAGCTTTACACATTTCTGTGAAGCTTGGCGTGGAAGGCATTGGTGAGCTTTTGAGAAGATCAATTTCTGCTGCATTGTCCAGATATCCCAATAGTGATCAACTAAACATGGTAAGACCTGAATATTTTGTGCTGGCATCCCAGAGTTTCATGCTTTTTATTTTTCTTGAACAGGACATGGAGAGATCAAATTAGGCTTTGCTCCATATTTATTGAAATGGTGCATGGAATGCATTTTTATGCATGTATGAGCACATGTCCTTTGTTTTTTAGATCCATTAGGGAGTTTGGAGGACTGTCAAGATCCTTCCCCCCAACCTGGGAAAGAAACTTCACCCCTCTTATGGGGGGCCCTTTTCTCCCCCTTCAAATCTTCTAATTCTGCATTGTCCTGTCCAAAATCGTGCCTTGTGTAATCAGTTTTCTTGTTGAGTTCAGAGATAAATAAGTTAATGGCCAATTTCCAAACTGCCCAACAAAAGTTTTTATGTTAATTTTATCCTTGCTTGTCCTTTAATGTTTTTTCTTTAATCCTGTAGCTCTTTATTATAACATACTTCCACTTTCCAAACTTGACAAAGGAAAACGAATTAATGATTCACCTTCTTGTTTTTTGTTAGTTATGTTTATCTACTTTTGAGTGAGTTCATCTTTGTTATTATTGTGACTATCATCCACGTTTAAGAGTAGGAATTATGTAATGACCTTGGAACTTCTTGTGCTTTGTTTGAAGATATTGATTTGCCACTATACATATATATTTTGAAAGAATTTTGCCGCCTATTTTTGATAGCAATGCACGTGTGGGGTTTTCCTTTTGTTTAGTTTAAACGTTCATCTAGCAAAGGTAGAAAGAAGAAAAACCCATCTCAATCCCTTGTGGTTGATGTGACTGACAGGTTTTCAGAAAATTTCACTATACCACTAAATCGGTTTCACTATTTGAAATTGAATTCAATCTACATCTTGGAGTAGGATTTCTATGATTCAGCCTCATCTCTCTGATTTTGGAAAAGTAGCATACTTGCATGTACTTTGTTTATTACTGTGGACCCAGCCAAGGCTGGTAGTAGGCTTCATCCTAGGAAGATACCTGAGACTTGGGCTTCAACTTCAATCTTGGCCAGTACTATGTATAGCCCATCTGATTATTGGGTCTTGCTTTGCTGAGTCCTAGAAACTTGAGCATAGCATCTTAGTTGGGTGCTGCTTGAGTGATAAAAAGTGATTAGTTCAAAGAAATATGTTATTTATGCTGCATACTTCTTTTGTGGTATCAATTTCATAACTAACTAGAATTAGCCGAGTTGGCTACCTTGATTGCCTCAAGATTCTCTCAGTTAAGTGGTCAGGCAAGAATTGATTCCACATTCTGTACATAAGTACATACATGCAGGCCATTTCATAATTCTCATATAGATGCATAATTTTGCACAAGGAGAAAGCTAACCTCCCATCAGTTCTTAGGGTTCACCATGTCCCTCCTTCCCTCCGTCCCATAAAACTAGTCCCTCCTTCCCTCCGTCCCATAAAACTAGTCCCTCCTTCCATCCGTCCCATAAAACTAGTCCCTCCTTCCATCCATCCCATAAAACTAGTCCCCTTATGCTTTTTGGGATGTCACAAAACCTTGCCCACTTGCTAAAGTCAAGAAATATATATGTTTGAGCATCCCCAATCTACTCTTCATATATTGTCAGGAAACTTCAAATTCAAGTTTTGTAAAACTTCTACTTGAAAGTACTCATGAATTTAGTGAAATTTGGAAATTCAGTCCTCATTCCAAATGAAGTATACTACATATTCCCAAGAAGGGGCCCTTTTATAGGACAGCAGCAGTTGTAGATATAACAGCCCGTATGCATCAATTTTTCAACACTAATATGGGGCAATTTTGTCATTCAAGTTCTTCAAGTTGGTGGATTTTGCGAAGACTTCTGTTGCCATCTCTGCTTGCTGGGAAGAAGAACCAGCTTCTCAAACAGAATGAAATTTCTTCAACAGTCTCATTTACTTGAAATATGCAACCTGATCCCGCTAGTTGCTAGAAGTTTTACGAGTTCTATGGCTTTTAATTTCTGGTGTTGGCAATGAGGGAAACTCTACTTGTTTCTCAGACATCTCCTAATTCAATTGGTTCCACACAATTTCCTAAATGTGCAGAATTATGGTTACTTATAGACGGCTCCCTGCCTCTATTCTGGGGTTATAACTCAAATATGGCTTCTCCGATGGTGGTTTTGTTAGAGGTTGTCCGCGTCAGTAAAATAAATGCCTCTCAAACTAATATTGTCAATTGGTTTTGGGTTGGATGTTTTAACTATGTTCAATGGTTACCTCATGTTATTTAGATTGTTTTACTATTTGTTAGAACTTGTTGCAATGGATGATGGAATAAGAAATGGTGGTCAGATGGATGGTTGGGATGTGCTGTTACAGCTATCATTCCTTGTGGGAATGACGGCAACCATTTCATTTAGGCAACAATTTTCCAAAGAAAACCATAAATAATTGACTGAGGATTCGTGCATTTCTAATGAGTTTTAACTTAAAGCCTAATTACGATTTACTGAAAAATTGGGACAAGGTTGTCTATCTCCAATAGATGAAGAGGTTATATGTGCATAATTTACTTGTACTCTTGGGGCCCAAATGGAGTGAGTTATAGGTTTCACTTGAGTTGAATGTACCTTGTTCTGCACCTAAATGTGTATAAGTCAATATTAAAATTTGAGTTTGCCTCGCCTTACATGTAGTTGGTTCATATTGGACCTAATCTGATGAACAAAGTAGACCCGTTACAGGCCTATATGTGGTAAAGAACTGTGAGATTGTTATTTTATTTTGTGTTTCATTTTGTTATTTTGGTGGCTGTTTTTATTCCACTCTTCTTAGTCTGTTTGCAATTTAAGAGAGCAGGAGCACATTTGATTGAAGTGATGTGATTCTGACTGCTCTTCATCTGTAAAATGTTGCAGTGATGGAGGTTTCTTTAATGCCATCATGACCTTACCGCAAAACTACCCACAGTCCGCCAACAGTGAGGTTTACCTCAGAGATATGGCATCCTAATGGTTCGTACATTGTTTCTAAATATCTTTCACATAATTTCGTATTGATTATTATCTAACTGCTTGGGTATGATAACAGTTTATCCTGACGGAAAAGTTTGCATTTCAATTCTTCATCCTCCCGGTGACGACCCAAACGTCTATGAGCTTGCTAGTGAGCGCTGGTCTGCTGTCCATACGGTATGACCACATAAGTCACATTAAGGTTTGTTCTAGATATTTTACTAATGTTGCTTAAAAGTTATTGGCAATGTAGTTTTTACCTTTTCCCTCAAGTTTATTTTGACTTTTTGATTCGCCTCGGTTTTGGGTTGTTTAGACTCGTTCATTCTACAAAATGAATCAATGATTTTTGAAATGAGTTGAGTTTAAGCAACTTATGAATTGACTTTAATAGGCTCGACTCGACTGGAATTGGTTTTATCTTAAAGATGAACGACCCATACCTATTACACTTATCTGTGGCTCTTAATATTTGATTTTATGGTTGCTTATACACATGTTGGTAGATTTTTATTGAGTAGTTGGTTATTTTAGAATTGGTTATTATGTTATAGTGTATATTATTTGAAAACTTTTTTGATGTGAAATTGAGTTCGGTTTCGCCTCGAATGCTTGTAATCTTCTGTTTGGCAATTATCCCTACCTCCGGTGAAGGGGATTTTTAGAAGGAAATTTATGTAGTTAAACTGTATAAGATTGATGTTAGGGTGAAAAGAAATAAGTATAAATAGTCTTGTTCACTGAGTAGTACTAATCTTACTCTTATTTTGCTTTTATGTTGTTAGCTGCCTAGTTTAAGAAAAAGAGGAGTGGGAATGGGGGACGGGGGAGTGGGTACAGAGGGTTTACAGTGCTAAATTCTTGTAGCACAGTGTGGCGTTGTCATGCATCTGAAAGGTAGGACCTTGAAAGAAGGTTGCGCTAAGGAGGGATTGTGGAGAGAGAGCCTCTAGGCACTGAATTTGCTGTCGAGGGATAGCCTGTTCAGTGGGTGGGGTTAAGTTGATTCAGACTCCTGCCCCCACTATGGAAAGAACAAGGAATCAAACTTGAAGTAGATGGTTTTGATATCTTGATATGTATAGCTCAAAGTATGTCCTTTGCTTTACAAGAAACAGTAGTTCCGTAACAAATTGTGTTTTGGTACAATTGTTTTGGAAATTTGGTACACTTGCGTTCTGCCACTAAATTAGATGAATAAAACATGTTATGGCTAGAGCTTTACTTATCTTTGTGCTAAAGCAAAGATTTGCAATCTAATAAGGCTTTGGGATGCACGTTCTCTAAATTCCATATGATGGCCAGTATATCATATTTTCTGAAGTAGACAGCAAACTCTTCCATTTTTCTTTTTCGAATACAAGAACTTACACTTTGAAATATGTCAAATTTTAACTATTTTATCTGAATAATCCCAACCTTAGCCTGTAATGTTGTAAAATAAGTGCCATACTTCATTCACGTTCCTGTAATGTTCGCTTTGTTTTGCTCCCTTTTTTTTTTGGTGGGTTGAAATTGTCTATACACAGCATTGCTCTTTAATGTATTAACTAAATTAATCGACTTAGTTGACAATGGATTCTAATAGTCGTTAGAAGACTTGCATGCAAATTAATATTTTAATGTTTGAGGGTACAAATTAAAAATGAATGTGTCTTTTGCAATACAAAGTGAGATTAACCCAATTTTATATTTTGGAAACTCAATGACTCTGTATTGAAAAGTCCGTCATGTGTTGTTACTTTTCTCATTTACAAAGAAATATTTTACTAAAAAAAACGTTAAATGGGTCAAATTCTAACAAAGTGAGCAAGAAAATATTTTGTATCACCTCACCTAATACAAACAATAAGTAGGGGTTTGTCAAAGGAGGGCCAAAAGCTGGATCCCTTCCTGCACGTGTGTGAGGCTGACACTATCTCTCTTCCTAGACGTGACCGAAGAAAGTGGCTCTGCCGGCCAAAATGGAGAAAAAATTGAGTAGGTTTAATTTTGGTGCACTCATTAAAGCAACTGATGCAATCATATACTTGGATGATTGTGACGAAACAATCTATTTAAGGTTTGTCGGAGTTTACAAAGTGAATAGATTCCTAGACATATTCTACCCGGCAATATGAAATGCACATATTTTTTTTTTTTGAAATTACATGTCAATTTAAAAATAACATAAAATTAAATTAATTTTTAAAAGTTAATTTTATTTTTTATTTTATCCAACTAACACTTAATTTATTAAAAATAACATTAAATTAACATTCAAAATTATAATTTGGTAAGGGAATAGATCCTAGATAATCATGATAGATCCACGTCTCTTTTCTCAACATGCCTTCAAATACACATATATTTGATAGTGAAAGCTAAGTACACATCAACCGTAAAGAATTTTATCTCTTCTAATTATTAGGACAAGTTATGCTTATAGAAAGAAGAATATTTCAATATTATACTTTTATTTTTATTTTTAATAAATATAAATTTTATTATTTTTATTATCAATAATCATAAATTAATGGAATTAAAATTAAAAACTGACAATAAACTTGAATATTTGTGGGTATGATAGACTTAAACCGATAAGTCATTCCCACTAAAAGTAAGATACTTTTGCTCTGATTTCACCAAGACAAAAGAGGTCAAATAAGAATTTTCTGTCACAATTATTGTTGCTCTTTCTTGTACTTTTCCCAACATGTCTCAACTGTTATCGGTAAACCATAGCATGGCAAATCATGATGACATGATCGTAGAAAACAAATCCAATTATAAAGGTTGTGTGATTTCCCTCCCGTTAACATTTTATGTCAACCACATGTTTTAAGATATGAAACCAAAAAGTCCATAATTCTTGTAGCGATACTAATGACTTTGGTTTGTCATCCAACCCATAGACCTCAGGCATACATGCATTTTACCGCCTGCATGGCTTTTTAAGTTCACACCTGAAAACGACTTCTAAAGGATTGTGGCTGCTATCCTATGAAAGCACCAAACGGGCAGTGCAGTTGTCTAGCAGTAGATTCCACGATTTTTTTTATTTATAAGCCGGCCATTTATTCACATCTCTTGTTTGTCTACAACATTTCAGTTCAAGAGACCCTCTCTAGCTCTCAGAATCTCTGTCCAAGTTTGAACTCTCTCTCACTCTCTCTATATGTTACAAGCAGTTTCTGTTTCACTGCGACAAAAGTTTATCATTGTTTGTTTAGTGGTATTACTACTACAACAACACTACTATAATTTATCAAAGAATACAAACCTCATTCTTTTTTTTTCTTAGACATGGAGCCCCAACGTGTTTGCATCCAAAAACAGCTCTCGGAGACAGATATCAATCGCAATTTAGAAGTACCCAACCAAGCACAGTTTTTGCCAGAGGGAAATGGTATCATGCTTGTAACTGATCGAGATGGTACATCATTTGAATTCGTAGCATCAGTGAGGAGAAGTGGGAGGCGTTCTCTGACGCACCAGTGGATCGAGTTTGCTGCATCAAAGGGTCTTAGAGCCGGTGAGTTCATCAGGATTAATTGGACAGGGCATGAGAATCAGTATGAGGTGCAGTTGGGACTGCAAGCCCATGGACAGCACATATTTTGGGAAACCCTTTAAGTTTCAGTACTAGGTAAAATTGTGTGATAAGTTTGGGTGGTGCTTAGATATAAACCCAACTGATATTGATTTCATGTCCAATTTTATGGATCATCATGTGTATAATTGTTTGATCTGCATGCCAACGTCAAAGTTTTATGCTACACTGGATCATATTCAAAGTTTTGAACACTGAAATTAGGACCAGGTTCTCATTTGACAATGAGCTAGTGATACAGATGATTCCAGAAACTTAACTTTCCCACCGTCTTTTGTTCTCCATTTTATCGGGCAGACATTCCAGAAACATTGGACTTTGTCAGTGTCCACGTCACTACCAGGAAGTGACATCACTGTTTTCAATTTCGTTTTGAAGCTTATTTTTAATAATTTGACGTGCTTTTAAGTTTGGAATAATAGGATTGTCTCCTTTCTTATTTTTGTTTTTAACTGACTGACCTATTTTTTCTACAATGCAAAAATTGGATTTTTACCAAATAGCAAATCACAAGTTTTATCAAATTAGGTTAAGCTTATTTCAGAAATTGATCTAAATGTAATTATTATATCTCACACAAATATATCTATACTACTTCTAAAAGTGGCTTAAGGAGAAAAACTTTTAATTCCTTATTTGCCCTTTAATAATTCTATAATGTCTATTTTATCCTTGTTTTAAGAGTTCTCATATATTTATTAGTTGCATTAATTCAACTAATAAATTCATTATTTGTCTTTTGATTATCTTCTGCACTTCTCTACCAACTGATAAGCTATCTTTTCTCTCTCTTCCTCTCTTCTACTCCGTCTTCTCCTTTGTTCTCCCGGTCAACATTGTTGACATCCACCGATCATGTGATAGTTGTTGTCACTACTAAGATCTTTTGAGACGTCACTTATTATGACGAGATATGTCGTCACAACACCGACCCGAATTGGCCTATAAGAATGACAAGAAACCTTTGGAGTGGCTGCTGGAACCATGGACTGGCATATAGTGTCCAGCTCACTTAGCAGATGTAAAATTTGTTTGATATCAGAACAGCTTTAATATGTGGTTATCCTATCGGTTATAAATAACAAATCTCCACTGGCATTGAGATTCAACCGCTAATATTTTTAGTTATTATTGTGGAATGTCTATGGGCGGAACACTAAGAGAGGGAGCATGCAAAATCAACACTCAGAAAGATTTGAATGAGGAAAGGCCAAAGGTAATGTACGTAACTACATCGGGAAATCAAGTGTGGAGAAAAAGCAAGATAACATCTTAACGATATATTTTTTTTTGGGAATTTGAATAATTACAAAGTAATTGCCTTTATCTCTACCTTTTAATGTGCTCAATCCCCATCTTTATTCCATATTGTAAGATAGATTGAGGGTAAAGAAAGAAGGTGATTTTCAACTCTATCGAATGGCTTTATAATTTAAAAACTAATTGCTTTGAGGTTTGTTACAATGACTTCTGACATTCAAACCATATTGATTTTATTAAAGTATTTTCTTTGAGGTTCTTGAATGTTTTTTGCTATTCTTGGCCTTCCCTGTTCTCAAATATTTAGCGATCGATGGTTGATAACACAAACTTTTGTATGGTAAGGAACCATCATTTTGTAGTAGTAGTAGTGTTGTTTGTACATTTAGAAGCCTTTTATCTAAAATTTCTTATGCTATCCTGTTGTGTAATTTTTTGTGTGTACGGTGTGGGGTGTTTGCAGTCAAGCAATGTCGCCATCACAAGTGGTTGCTTCAAATGTTGGACCACAATGACTATCAAGCCCTGGATTATTTAATTTTCTTTTGCTTCAAAGAGGAAGAAGATGCTCTTGTTTTTGGCCAATCAAAAGCAATGCAGTGATGAAATGAAACGGTCCAAATACAACAAACAAGTGATGCAAAAGAGTATATCCCAACGTGGATCACATGGGACCTACTTAGTAAAAGTTAAAATTAATGATCATGTGATCATCACTTTGACTAATGAATTATGTGGTCATCTACACGTGACAAATGGGAATATGTATGTCTTAAGAGTGGGTCCGTTAATCCCATTATAAATCATTTAAAATTGTTGATAAAATATCTAACCTTTTACTGCTTATCCATTAAATTGATTACTTAGTAGGTCGGTGGGGAGAGAAAAACACTAAAAGATGCACACTAAGAAAAGATGCTCAAATACACATACATTTTTGGATAAGGTTAACACTTTTTAGAGGGAAAGATAACATTTTTTAGGGTGTAAGTTAATATTTTTTAGGGTTAAGGTTATCACTTTTTGGTATAAGGAACCTAATGTTATAAGAAAAATTTTATCATTTTTTTGGGGGCAAATTACCATTTTTGTTTTTTTTTGGTGTAGTTAGAACTTTTTAGGGGTAAAGTTAATATTTTTTGGGATGTAAGTTAACACTTTTTTGGGTTAAGGATAACATTTTTTTCGTTAAAACACTTTTTGAGGGTAAGTTAACACTTTTTAGAGGTAAGGATAACATTTTTTGGGAGTAAGTTACCATTTTTTAGGGGCAAAGTTGACACTTTTTGGGGGGTAAATTAACACTTTTTATAGATAAGGATAACATTTTTTGGGTGTAAGTTAACACCGACGGTTAACATTTTTTGGGTTTAAGTTAACACTTTTTAGGGATAAGGTTAACACTTTTGAAGTGCAAGTTAAACACTTTTTAGAGATAAAGATAACATTTTTAGGGGTAAAGTTAACACCGACGATTAACATTTTTTGGGTTTAAGTTAACACTTTTTAGGGATAATGTTAACACTTTTGGAGGGCAAGTTAAACACTTTTTAGAGATAAAGATAACATTTTTAGGGGTAAAGTTAACACTTTTTTTGGGTAAATTAACACTTTTTAGGGGTAAGGATAATACTAAGGTTATAACTTTTGGGTTACTCAATGATGGTACAACTTTTTTTTGGGTAAGGTACAATTTTTAGTAGTTCCGATGTTGAACCATACAGCGTCTTTGATGGCTTTTTCAGGTGATTTAGAATCACTAATACATCTTCTTAATCTGTCCGATTGTGTAATTGCAGATGGAATGGAGAGAAAGAAGGGATGAATTTAAGAAGAAAGTTAGTCGCTGTGTGAGACGGTCACAAGAAATGATGTGAACCAGTTCCATTGCGACTCTGCCAGGAGGAAGAAGAATGATGGCTTTGTTGAATCAATCATAAGTTCTAAGCCTTTTCCTTTTTTTAATTTTTTTTTTCTCCCTTGTGTCGGGTTTTTCAAATTCAAATCAGAAATATTTCTCCATAATGAAGTTATTTAATTTGGAAACTCGACTAAATCCATGTTTTGATTGCTGTGCATTATTTTCTGATGGAATTTGTGAATGTTTGTTGTCGATGAAAATTTCTGAAAACTATATAAATAATGTGTGCTCTGTGAAGATATTTCATTATTATTTTCCTTTACATTATAAGCTATAATGTAATGACATGCCACAAGCCTAATACTTGTGATCCCTATCTCTCATAAAACACAAGCATCCAACATCGTCTCCAATCATGAACTTCCCTCAACTGATTGTAACAATTATACCCTCACATTTGAAAGTTGTAATTTTCATAATCGATAGCAATGTTTTAAGATCATTATATTTTATACAAACCATAACTTGTACCTAAAAAAATTACAACTTTTCCTAAAAAAATTATGATTTTTGGTATGATACCGTGTCAATTATGTAGTCTTTCCCATGATTGACAATTAGTCCTTGCAATTGCCTTAACATCCTTCAAAAATACATTACATTGCATTCAAATATAGTTCACAAGTTATATGTCATTTGTCCTTGGACCAGCCACTGACATAGATGGGGCTAATCATCCCAAAGGAGATGATCATAACATTACCGGTCTTTCCGATACCATCTTAATTCTCTTCAAGCAGACTGTCTTTCAGGCATCTTTGCAATCCAGTCCATCATAAAGTTTAAGTTGCCTTCATACTTCGGGTCGGCTATCACATAATGGTAAGCAATTGCCAAAACAAATATAAAAATGCCAAGAAAGTTGGCGAACAATCCCAGCTGTCGATCGTCAATCATCTGCAATAGCACCATTGTAGCTTTGATAATTTAGTATGACAGACGTAAACAGTCCAGTCAATAATCTAATTTCAAGGGCTGGAACAAGAACTAATATATTTGGATAGTGAAAATCACATCATATCAGCAGAACCCACATTTAAAAGACATATTTCCAATCGTGTCCTTTCCTTTCTTTTAGCATTCACAATGAAAAGTTCAAGTGAAATGATTCCTGGGCTCACAGTACTAGCCGTTCCAAAAATATTTACTACCAGGATTTGTAGGATTTCAACATTCCAAATATAGGTGGGAATTTTGAGTTCAACAGACGATGATAAAATGCACAAGTAGTCAAAAATTTGATTGCAACCCAACAAAAATATACCAATCTCATTGTAGAATTGTAGATAGGAATAGTACATTGAGAGATCTGGTAAGCAGTTACACCTTGGACAGTGAAGCAAAGATGTTCTGTATAGATAGCCCTCTGGCATAATTCCTTTTTTCTATTTCCATTTTCCATTTTTCCCCCTTTTTTTGACAATCACCATCATACAAAATAAAACTTAGGGGTGAAATAGCTCACTGACAATTTTTTTAATCGATTGTGGGTATCCATGACAATAAGCACGTTTTGGGTTTCCAAAGGGCATGTTGAAGTGAAATGAGGAGTGATATACATATTCCAGAGTGAACATTGAACATTGTAATCAAATCCTTCTACTGTTCTTCTACCTAACCCATCGACCTGGAATCAATTGAATTCCTTGGCTTCATCCTCTTTTAAGCATGCCCACTTCCTAGATGTCGATGGATAATGCAACTATGAGCCCGCTTTCACTACATAAATTGTAATCTTGCCAAAATGACAAATGGCAAGCACAAGAATATTCATGTAATAAGCAAAGGAGCCAGGATTGAAATCCTTCTACAACTCCTCCGTCACAAAAATTTGCTAACTTTATAATCAATCTTATTCAAACCCTTAAAAGAAATAGTTCTGCTCCGTAACACAAATCAGACTTTGATACAGGCCCTCTCATTTTCTTCCAGTGAATAAACTCAAAACCTTCGGCTAAAGCTGGAATTTCTACTCTTCAACCTCTTCCCCTAGTAATCCCCAACCTCAGCAAACACTTCATTCTAAATCGACAACCTTTAAACCTTTTTTTACCTACTTATCTTTAATATTGAATCATTAATTATTTATTAACTAGGGGTAACCCATGCCTGAAAGCACGATGTAATGTGAATGGTTTTGAAATGAATGTCGGTGAGCATTGGATGAGTCTATTTGACACCGACAGATAGACTTATTGAAGCCAGTTTTATTTTATATTATAGATATTAGACTCTACTCGATAAGCAAATTACTAGTCTCTGTAAACAAATGTACACAACTTGTCCTGCCATGACTCTAGGCTCTTTCTTTGCCAAAAGAAATTCTTCCAAAGTCCATCACCTTACACGTGAGCATTTCAAGATGCAAAAACTAAACCAGACAAACAGATTACATAGCAACTAAAATATCAAAGCATTTCTTCAAAAGTTCAAATTGTTATGCACATTTTGAAAACCTAGTAACATTCAGAATAACACATACAACTTATCCCGTAAATGTCAATTAAGTCAAGTGACCTTGACCACTAGTCCCCAATATGTTAGAAATTTCTTTAAAATAGGTAAAACCTTTTGAAATAGCAATGTATACAACAAAGAATCACCAAACCTTAAAAAACCTTAGTTTCTGATATAAAAGTCTACAAATCCTGTCTATCTATACTACATGGAAACGACAGTTAATTATATAGCTCAAGGGACATGACTAAATAAATATTCAGATTAGATGATAAAAATTGATTTCTTGAGCTATTTTTCATGGACTTGGAACATGAAAGGGTATGAACAGGCAATTGAAATTATACGAGTTTGTCATGTGGGTCCATACCCTTTGCAATTTTGAGGAGAAAATATTTATTGCAACAGTTACCTCATGTCATCACGCTGATCGATGATTGGATAACAGGTGAGCAAATGCATCCCATATAGGGATGGGTCCAATCCAACACCCTCTGCAATAGAGGGGTGTCCACTTTATTTGTTTACAAACATTACACCAGAAGATTGATTGAGATATCAATGAGTGAACAACACGATAATAGAACACAGAAAAAAAAAGGACAAAAAACAAAAACAATTGAAGGCGATCACAGTGGGATTCGAACCCACGACCTTTAGATTCGGAGTCTAACGCGATATCCACTCCGCTATGCGATCAATTGATACACTTTTTGCTTATTCTTCACACTTTAAGTCGGACTTCATAACAAGATCTATGGAGAAAACAGAGACACAAAATCACAACTGGGTTTTACTCTAATCTCAACGACAAAAGGGTTTTACGATCCTTAACCAAAAATGGATCCAAAACGCCTCAATTCTTAAACTTTAATCGCAGATGCCTGTGTCTCAACAATCTTTAACAGAACGTATTTAGAAAAACAGAGAGATCACATACCCTTTGTTGATCAAATGTCAAGAACGGAGGGTACCGGTACCAGATCAGTGAAAAAAAGCGTGAATTCCTAAGGTTGAACGCTTTGTTTTGTCCCAAAAAATAACCTTCCACAGCGAAAACCTCCCCGTTCGACGTTCTGATGTAATCTCTCAAGAGAGAGAGAGAGAGAGAGAGAACTGGGGTAGGCACCGTATGCAAAACCAGGGACAAAACTGGGAACGTGGCTTCAGGTTGCTTCTGGGTTCGGACTGCCATTGAATGAGGATCGTCTGAAGTTTTCAGGTCAAACATAAGGGTGGGCTGGGCAGGCCAACAGCCCATAATAGAAAATCGTGAGGTTTCAAGAAAATATTAAATATAACAAAATATTAAATATAACAGTTACATCATTTTAATAATATTTTTTTAAGGTAATCATCAAAGAAAATTCTATATAATCTAATTAACAGTCAAATGTATATTATTTATTAGATAAGTGCAAAATGAGTGGACGCCACTAAAAAAATTAATGAAACATATTCATCTAACGAATGATATGCATTTACATTACAACTTTTTTAATTTTATTTATATTTTATAGCATTACTCAATCATTAAATAATAAACCACCGCATATAAAAGTGAGTCTCACAAAATTTGATAATTACACGATTCATATAAGATAATAACCAACTCATGTAAACACTAAGGGGTATCTCAAGTAGCAGTAGGTATAAACTATAAACTTATACGTTTTGAATTTGAATATTAACAAACTATTGAGATTAAGTCATAAGACAATTATCTCTCATGAATAAGCATGATAATTCTAGATACGACTCATGAAATCGACACGGATTTAGCGGTTTTGGTGTAGTCTTAACGGGTTCAGATAATTAACGGGTTAACTCGGCAGACCCATGAAATAAATGAACCAGTTTCGTGTTTAACTCATAAACTTGTTTCAACCCGTTTCACCCGTTAACAATTATGCTATAATTTATTTTTTTTAAAGTTAGGTCTTTCAACCTTTGTCTTATCTCACACCTCTCATTTCTTATACTCATTCAAATTTAGAAATCATTTAATGTTTATTTTTTGTCTTTATTTTTTTGCTCAGTCATAATTTATTATTATAGTAAACAAGTCAAACATGTGTAATGTGTAGCAAGTTGATGATTTTTCGTGTATATTTGAAATACTCTAACCTATTCTTTTATTTAACAGGTGACACACTGGTTATATCAGGTAATCCGTCTGATAAATAATTCGTGTATGGTGTGTGATAGTTGAATTCGTTTATATAAACGAATGGAGAATAGATAAAGAGTTTTTTGACACAAACCCGTTTCACCCGACACGAAAGCGTTCCACTTGACACGATTGTCAGACCTACTTGTGAATATCTTAGTCATAGCGTAGATGATATTTCTTTAACCAAATTAGAAAGAGAATTAATCAAAGTGCACGTAAATTAACTCGAACATCTTTAAAGGTTAAACAAAAAAAAATACCTATCATCTAAAAAAATAGAAACTATTTACCAACCATTACATCGAATATTTACTCGTTTTCGGTATTTACTATTTAGCATACCACTCTTGCCATCTATGTTTGGATAGCAATGTAGTTGTACTGAATGAGCTCTAAATTCTAAATTTTTTATTTTTTTAAAAATTTTAAAAGGTTTCATGACATCTTGGCATCGGTTCTCACATGAGTTCTAAGCTTACATGTAATTGTCACAAATGAGTTCTAAACTCTATTATTATCGATTTTTGATTTTTTTAATTTTTAAAAGCTTACATGGCTTCTCATCATTAGTCCTTATTAACTTCTTATTATCTGAAACTATATTAGAATATCTCTGATCTTGACTTAAATTTTTTACTCAAATTTGAGTAAAAAATTTGATTTAATATAAAACACTTCAAAGAAGAAACTCAAATTCATAAAAGAGCAAATTCAAATTTTTAGTAGGATAAAAAATGACCATGGATGGAGTTACACAGGGGCAAGAATGAGTACGTGCTCAACATCAATTTTTTTAAAAAAATATTATATATACACATATATTTATATATTTTAAAATTTATACACATATTTTTTATTTGTGCTCACATTAAAATTTTCATATTTCAATTATTTAGTCTTTTTTATTGTATTAAGGATTTTTCTAAATGATTTTAATTTTATTATTTATGAATTCCTACGTGGCTTCGTTTTGGCTGTGAGCCACGATTACATTCTAATGCTCAAAGATCGAGGGTTTCTCTACGTGAGTGAGCTCGATTTTGGGTTAAAATTCCGGTTTGGTTCATGGCTTTGTTAAAGTGCAAGGCCGGCTCGCCAGCGGCATGGCGGGAGGTGGTTTTGAAGGCGTCTAAGTTGAGGGCTGAAGTGGCGGTTAAGATGGGAATTGTTGACTCGGCACATGATAGCGCGGCGGAGACGGTGGTGGCAGCGGTGAAGTTGGGGGAGGAGCTGGTGTTGAGGAAGTGGGATGGACACGTAGTACAGTGAGAATAGGAAGACTATGCTTGCTGACGTGTTGGCTGAGCTTGGGTTTGATGAGACTGTAGAGGATGGTGACAATGAGACTCTTCCTCCTCCTCCTACTACTACCAAACATGTCTCAAGACTTTGAACACAAAGAGCATAATGTTGTTGATCAGCCTAAATAATTACTGAAGTATAATGTATTTTCTTGTAGCTTCTTTATCAATCTTTTAGATGATAAAGGGGTCGAAAAAGTTCTAGTGTGTAATTTAGGCAAGTTACTCTAAATTTAATATCGTCACGACTCGAAAGAATCAATACATTTGCAATATTGTATGATTGTATCCGACCCACTGTCTTATTGTATTGATTTTTCAAGGAATGCACTTGCTGTAATAGATCAGTTTAAGGATGCATAATGCTTGAAACCAACTTCTTTTTGTCAAGGATGTTTCTTTCTGTTCGCACACAACACACTGTGAACTACACAAAATTGACATCCACTGCATAATAAACATATTTTACCTTCCCCAAATTAGAAGCCCAAGTTTCAGTTCATTTTCTCCCAGATCGGATGCTTCTTGTCCACTGCGTAATACGCATCTTTGTTTGGCAGGGTCCGAGCGAAACTACTGGATATTACCAATCGCAAGTCACATTTTTTAGAGTCTCTTGCATAGTAATTTGTAATTTTTTTAATTCCTCTATAATTTGCTATATAAATTTTAGAAAATGCAACTTCAATTCATGTCTCTGTAGATAGATAATTACTTACTGTAATTCCTAGCCATGAATACAATACTCATGCTTATATTGTTTTTCTCTTTGGTTTCAGGCAATGCAGAACGAGCTATTTCTTTTGGACGACGCTATTAAGAGGAAGGGGTTCTTTTGGCAAGCACATATGAATATTTTGTTATAAGGAGAATGAAAAATTTTGCTAAGTCAATTTGCATACGGGCTGCATTACTGCTGGGATTGTTCTTATTGTTCATATGTTATCATAGACTAATGTTAGATGGACTTAAAAATTAGATTCGATAATCTTAACCATTGAATAGGTAATGAGTCTCAATAAATGCTGGCATCTACAATGAAATCAATGGTTGTAATTTTCAAATCTATTTTTAAGTCCATGTAACATTGTCCTTTATCATGGGGATAGAGCAATACTGAAATTCATGAGACTAATGCTCCGTTTGGTATGATGAAAAAATATAAGGATGAAAAGTTTGAAAGATGTAAAGTTGGAGGAGTAAATAAAACATCATGTTTGGTAAGGAAGGAAAATAGGAAGGATGAAAAAGTTGATGAATTAACTTTCTTTCCAACTCACCAAAATCAGAAGGAAAGTAGATGAAAGTTAATTGTTTGTGTTGAGATGTATCTTATTTGTTTATATATTATGTATACATTAATTTCATATAAAAATACAATGATATATATATATATTTAAAAAAATTAAAAATTAAAATTAAAAAAAATATTTTTTTCATCTTAAGTAAGTGTGAAAATTTTCGACTCAACACGATGACACGACTCGAACTCGACTACGAATTTTATGACACGAACTTGATTATAACTCGACACAAACTTGAAAATGACCTGACATGAGAACAAGAAATATAAAGGCTCATAATTTTATGACTCAACACGAATCTGACACGACACGACTCGATTGTTACCTCTCATATTAGACAAAAAAAATTGAAAAAAAAATGATTATTTTTATTTTCCATTCATCCAATCAAACACAAATGAATGATAGTATATTATTTCTACTTTTCATCTTTAAAGAATAAAAAATATATTTCTCTTACTTTTCATTCTTCCTACCAAACAGAACATAAAAAAAGTATTCAGGATGGATGGTCAATAGTGCATTCTTGGTCATCTATTGAGAGTTGTGGATTGATTTTTAACATTGTGGTATTACCTTGCAAAATTTTCTTTGGTTAGTAGTATTATGGATGATTTTCTAACATAGAAGTAGAATCTCAGGCAGTTTTGGATTTTGAATCCAACCCCAAGGTCCTGGTAGACATGATTTGTTTTATAAGAAATTAAGCGTAACTCTTATTTGAAGGCACGGTGTAATATCAATGATTTTAAGAGAGATATTAGTGACCATTAAATGAATTTATTTGAGATCGTTTGATGAACTTACATATAGAAATTGTACAAGAAAAACTGAATTGGGTTTTTTTTGTTATAATACTGGAGACTATCGACATTTTGGATAAGCTATTAAGCTTTTGAGACTTCTACTGGGAACGGACTTCAAGAATTCACAAATTTGTTGGGAATTCTGTAGAATATATAGCAAAGAAAGGAGTGGATGAGCATCTACAACTAAATTTCATCTTTTTCAAGCTTACGACTTAAGGGTTCGAATGCTTATCTCATAGGGTCGGCTACAAATTGCAAACTTGTGGAAGAGATCATTGTATAGATTCTGGTCTTCTTTTGCTATATTTTTTCATAGATCTTCAGCTACAGATTGTAAACAAAGCTTGTCTTCGTAGATCTTCATCTACGTATTATACAAAATACATTCTTTGTCCATTTTTTATTTTTAATTTTTTTTCCTTTTTACCGGTGTTTATTGTATATGTCGATATGCTCACAGTCCAGCCACCGGAATTTGACAACCAAGCCGACGCTTAGCTTAGGCCGAAAGAAGTGTCGATTTTCTACAACGTCGATTTAGACGGCGGTTGATTGAAATGCCGGATACACACCAAAAAATGACTTTTACCTGCAATTTTTATGTTTTTACCAGCATTTGTCAAACATTGAAAATTCTTCTATTTGTGGTAGTGGGGTAACACTAGTGTACATTATTTCACTTTTTCGATATCATATTAAAAAAAAAATTAAAAAAATGCTAAATTATATCTAAAAAAGAGATAAACTTCACCCAAAAATGGTAAGTTAAATGCAAAGGTAAGTACACTCCAAAAGTTAATAGTATAAATATAAAATAAAGTCTTCACCGGTACAAGATTAATTTTTTAGTATTGGAATGACTTAAAAAATTTAAAAAGTACTTCTTAAATAAATATTTCTCATAAGTGTTTTATAAAAAAAAATTTAGTTATTGCCTGTATTTAAAGGCATTATGTAAAAATTTGGACCCATAATTTTTTTTTAAAATTGTGACAAAATTTTCCTCTAAAACAAAACCACAAAAAATACCAACATATGTACACAATTATTGAAAATTTTGATGAGATAATAAAAGACAGGGCTTTGTAGGAACCTGTTACAAAATGGAAACTAAGGCTTCAATGTAGAATTGGATTGGCCAAGTCGTGTCATTGGTTGAGTTATATTTGACTTATAAAATTCAAATCTAATACACTTTCATATTTTTATTCAAAATTAAAAATCTATTATAACTTAAACTTGACCAAGCCATTCGAGACGTCCCAAAGTCATTCTCGAGTAATTGACACTGCATGTAATATTAAAAAACAAAATCGCCAAGAAAATAGGAGAATTTCATCAAAAAAAAAGTTAAAACAATCATAATTAGTTTTAACACCGGCCATCACTCCACTAAAGTTATTCGTCTATAGTTTTAGGACTATGCATCATAAACAACCAAATGCATTTGAATTTCTTCCATGATGAAGCACATCCAAATCTATCTAGAGCTATCCATGCGTTAGAACAAAAACGACGTATTCATGGATAAATTTAAAATTCTAGTTAGGACAAATTAGAGTCTTACCCCTTGTTTAGACAAAATATAATTACTAAAAATAACCCAAAATAAATTGGGAACCCCAATTTGTAGGATGAGGATTACTTTCCAAATCTTCTATCCATTGCATAATGAGTAACGTTATTGAGACCTAAAAAATTGATCTTATTTATTGACATAATAACTTATCAAGTGATAAAATCTCAAAGAAGAAGTCCAAGAATTGTAATCACAACAATATTATTAGATCACCTCATTGTCATATAATTAGATTAGCAAATTAGGTCCCCATAGAATTACTCTTGCACAATAGACATCATCTTCATTTATTTGAATTCTAAGAATCTAGCCCATTAGGAAGGAATACCGTCGCATGTTAAAGCAGCTAGATCTGGAGAGTCTACAAAATGCATAGAAGCCAATAAACTTTACAATCTGGTGCCAAATTACTCTTCCCAAAATTTTTGCCACTACAATCATTGTAGACATCCTGTCTAAAACAGATACAAAAAGTCTTGCAAACCAAGCTCCTCTCTTAGCTCCCCAAAAATTGAGATTATTCATGCATATGATCCAATCATATTCTTGCATTCCACCAAATCGTTACACACATTTAATTACCTGTAATATATTTGATTTGTTATTGATATAAACATGAATAAAAAATTTTTCCAGTAAAATAAATCTAAGAATGTCAAGTCAATCAATATTAGACAACATTACAATTAAAGGGTATGCTACAAGTTTAAATAAGCATGAATACAAAATCTACACAATAAAATTAATCTAAAAATATCAAGTGAATTAAAATTAGAAATACCCATTGACGATGATAGCCTTGTGGTCATTTGACACCATAAAATCGATAACAATACCAGTACACCACCAACATTACATTCACCAATACCAACTTCAAACTCATGGTGAAACTTGTATCTTCCTTCACAAAGCAAACACCACCGATACAAACATACACCTTGTAAGGGGTAGAACCCTCTACTAAGAATTTCGGCTTGACCTGGGCTAACCCACGCGGGCGACCCCCTAGTAACCTTTACTTTTCAATGCCCCCAAGAGCTTCATCTCACATCGACTGAGAATCGTCTCCCCCCTCACATATAAGCCCTTGCACTCAAAGGAGGAGATACTCACTAGGCACCTGATCAGGTCGCTAGTGGATACCTCCTCCTTTGAGTGCAAGGGCTTATATGGAGATACTCACTAGGCACCTGATCAGGTCGCTAGTGGGTACCTCCTCTTTTGAGTGCAAGGGCTTATATGCGAGGGGGGAGACGACTCTTAGTCGATGTGGGACGAAGCTCCTGGGGGCATTGATCTGTAAGGGGTAGAACCCTCTATTAAGGACTCCTGGGAGCACTTATCTGTAAGGGGTAGAACTCTTTACTAAGGATTTTGCTTTGACCTGGGTTAACCCACGCGGGCGACCCTCCAGTAGCCTTTATCTCTCAGTGTCCCAAGTGTTTCGTCCCACATCGACTGAGAGTTGTCTCCCCCCTCGCATATAAGCACTTGCACTCAAAGGAGGAGGTACCCATTAGCGACCTGATCCTCGCTAGTAGGTACCTCATCTTTTGAGTGCAAGGACTTATATGTGAGGGAGGGAGACGACTCTCAGTCGATATGGGACGAAGCTCCTGAGGGCACTGAGAGGTAAAGGTTACTGGGGAGTCGCCCGCGTGAGTTAACCCGGTCAAGCCAAAATCCTTAATAGAATGTTTTACCCCTTACAGAAACCACGCGTGAGTTAACCCTGGTCAAGCCAAAATTCTTAGTAGAAGGTTTTACTCCTTATATAAACCATGCGGGCTACCCCTTAGTAGCCTTTACCTCTCAGTGCCCACAGGTGTTTCGTCCCACATCGACTGAGAGTCGTCTCCTCCCCTCGCATATAAGTCCTTGCACTCAAAGGAGGAGGTACCCACTAGCGACCTGATCAGGTGCCTAGTGGGTACCTCCTCCTTTAAGTGCAAAGCCTTATAGGCGAGGGGAGAAACGACTCTCAGTCAATGTGAGACGAAACTCTTGGGGGCACTGAGAGGTAAAGGCTATTGAGGGGTCGCCCGCGTGGGTTAATCCAGATCAAGTCGAAATCTTTAGTAGAGGGTTTTACCCCTTACACACCTATTTATTATTGTGAGAATTTACGTCGAACAGTTGGGTGCCATTATATTTTTCCAAGTGGTAGAAAGGGATTCGAAATAGTGTTTCTTACTAAAAAACATAGAAAAAATGGGCACTTGAACTTTTTTAATCAATGGAGCAATTTAACAAACACGTGGAGGCACCTATATAACACGGAAGCACACCAAGATGTTGGAGGCATATAGAGAAAAAGAGCTGGTAGTCCACCGAAGAGAGTCAGAGATGAGGGAATTAAAGCAGCAAGCTTTTAGTTCACGCTCTCAATGAGTTTTTTTTTTATCTCACACGTACTCACTTCGTGGACGCTAAATTTAACCGTGGTTGGCGTGGTGGCTAGGGTCGCAGAGGGTAGTGGTGGCTTAGAGGGTGGAGGGCTTCGAAAACGATGACTCAAGGGTGGACCAGAGAGGGGTAGAGGGGGAGTTACGGGGCTGTGGATGGACTGGATTGGGGATGTGTGAATTTGTGTGAGTTGTAGGGGTCTAGAGGGGTTAATAGTAGAAACTGGTGGTTGTGGTGAAGGAGATTTTCTAAAGAGAGAGGTAGAGAAAGGAAAGGGGGGAAAGTGAGAGATAGAAATCATACTTGCCAGTCTGGCGACGTTCTGGTGGCGTTCGATTTGCTTCACATCGACAATTGGCTCTTACCGTTTGTTGGGCTGTGGCGCCACTGGCAGGGGACACAAAGAGAAAAAAGTGGGTGTGGTTGTGATTGTGTTGGGCAGCGGTGACAATTTAAGGAATGACTAGATATGTAGGAAGAGATAGGATAGAGTTGAGTGGACATAGTGGTTGAATACGAAGGTCAGAGGTGTAGAAGTCTGGAAAGAGAGAAAGAAAGGCATGAATTAGGGGTAGTAGTTTGGAGAGAGAGAGAGGGAAGGATGTAATTTTGGAAGAAAAAGAAATTTGATGCTTGAAATTGGGAATTAGAGGTCTGAAGTTTGGGAAGCATAAACGGAAGGTGCGTTGGGCTGGAAAATAAAATTTGTTGGTCAATCTGATCCTTAAGATCAATATATGTTAGTTGATCTAAGCGGTAAAAATGTTAAAGATAACATGGACTATTGGATATAATTTATCGTTTACCCAAAATTAATCTGAATCACAAAAAACTCAAGATAAATATTGGGATTTAAATTCAGTTCTATTTTATTATATAAATATTTTTATTAAATAAATACTATTTGAATGCTCAAATAAAAAAATATTAAAATAAAAAATACTTTATCAAAAAGTGCGTGGTGGAGGCGATGACGACGATGATGATGAAGTGTTTTCAGGAGAAGTGATTTTAAGAAAGTATAATTTTTTTTTTTAACTTTTACCTAATAATTTAAATTGTAAAATTACTTTTGACTTAAAACAATATTAAATGGACTCAAAAATTAGACTTGATAATTACAATCATTGATTTCACTATAAATTTCAACATTTATTGATACCCACTATTTATTCAATAATTATGAGTATTGAGTTCAATTATTAAGTTCATATAACATTATTCTTTGATTTATTAAAAAATAATTAAAATATGATATTTTAAATATTACTTTTTTTTTAAATACATATAAAAAATTATAAATCTTATAAATACTTTTAAAAAAATCATCCCCGCTAACAAAAGCTTTTATAAACACATGTGAGAGTGAATGGTACGACAGAGATGGTGGGTGAGTGTCCCCATAGGATGCCATGTGACGTGGGTCGTACAAGTCTTGGGTAGCACAACTTTGATAATGTATTTGTTGGGGGGGGGGGGTGGTTTAAATATGTAAAATACCTACGTATTGATGATATGCCACAAAAATATATAATTAACGCATACAAATTATTAGTGTTTTAGTTTATACATAATGCCTCGTTAAATTTCCTGAATTATCATTTTCTTAAAGGACGCTACTATTTTTCACTTTCATCGAGGACACATTAATAGATTAAAGGGTTTTTTTGTATTTTATACTTAAAAAGATTTAGAGATTTTTATTTCATATTTTACCGTTAATGTATTAAAAATATTAGATGCAATCATCTGTTAACTTCAGTTAACTTTGGTGAAAAAACTAACGGAAAGTTCATACAATGATAATTTTGTAACACTTTTGATATATTGAGTATGTACTATGAAAAATTTATTATTTGAAAGTGTAAAGTGAAAATCTTAAAATCTTTTAAGATATAAAGTATAATTCACCCAAATTAACCTATCTCCTTTGTGACTTTTTGTTTGGAATTAGGAACTTTTTTTCAATCATTATGCGATCCAAACTTATGGTCAAAATAGAGCAGCGTTGCATCTAATTTGATATAAGTAATTTAATTGAAATTCGTATTATCTATCAAAAGTTTCAACCCTTGTCCTATCGGTTAAATTGAAATTTGATTCGATAAAAAATATAAATAGCATGTTGTCACGTACATTCCCACTCTTATTTTTTTTAATTTAACGATCAGGAATATTTGGATCAATTTATGTATATTTTGAATAATTTCTTTTTTAATTTGATCAAATATTGATATCTGGATTTATTACAAGTTAGTTATTATCATTTTATTATTTATTGGTTTTCACACTTATTTTCTCGGCTCTTTGGGCCTAAGCCCTGAATTACCAAATTTGACTTGACCAAATTAACCCTCCACCAATTAAAGTGACAAATGATCAGCCTTTGCCAGCTAATATTCCTCACAAGATTACACCTATATACATTATACAGCTAATACAAACAGCGAATTTTAAGACTTTCTACATCTAAATCCAAACTCTCTCTCTCTCTCTCTCTCTCTTCACACATCAAACTGTTCACTACATTTGATTCTTGAAATGTAGTATGAACTGATCAAGACAAAGCTTCAGATGATGAATCTAGGTCTTATACACATGTTTAGATAGTTACACTGTGGCGTATTTATACAGGTACATCGATGTCGACGAGTTATAGTCCTTCGAGAAGCCCAGCGAGCTCGAGATTTCTGTTGGGTGGTGTTGGTGCAGCATCGAGGCTGAGATCTTCGTCGCTCAAGAAGCAGCCGGAGCCTCTCCGCCGTGCTGTCGCCGACTGCCTGTCATCTTCGACCACATCCCAACATTCAACCTCCTCGGCTCTTGCCTCAGAACCTTCGCGGACTCTCCGGGTTCGAATTCACTGCATCCTCGTGCTCAATTTTGTGTTTTGGTTTTCAGATCTTGTAGCTGTAGAGGTTGTTTTACCTTTTTAAATTTTGGAATCTAGGGTTTTTTTCACAGTGATTTTTGTTTATGATTAATAATGTAACATTGATATATGTTTGCATTTGCATACACGTGGATACATTTTGAAAGAATCAGAGTGAGTCACTCTAGTGGAAACCGGGTAGTTAATTTGTCGGTTTTGGAGTGTATTGTGAAAGTAATTACTAATTTATTGGGCTATTAATGGTTAGTGAGTGTGGTTACACAATGTAGCCTTTTGTGTGGGATACTATGCTGATTTCTTAAATTGAAAATTTAGTCGGCATAGGCGGCTTAATCCATGGTATGTTGGTTGCCGGACTAAGCATTAGTAAGTAATTTGTCCTGCCAAATGAGATGACCACCTTGAATAAAGAAAAATCTAGCAAGATAATGTTGTGAAAAATACCCTGCTTATGAGTAATTTTGTTCTAAATGGCAACCGACAAGGACGCGGACTTCAGTTACAACATACTTTGCGTCTATTACAAACTTTCATTTGAATTTGCATGGAGATGTTACAATTTCGTGAATTCTGGTATGGAAAACTTACTTGCCATCTAGTTCTTACTGGGAAAGCACACACATACGTCCAATAAAAAAAGAAAAAGCACTTTTTAATGGATAAAGAAAACACTGGAAAAATGCTTCTTATTTAAGTGACTGTGGCACTGCCTGATATGAATTCCCATAATCAGTTCATTAGAAGAATTGCTAGTGTCATGCTTATGACAACTACAAAGATGTGTAAAGTTTGCGTCAGATGGCTTTGGCCTTTTTTTTTTGGATGGCAGGACTATCTGGCAGCACATAAAACAACTGATTTGGCTTACAGTGTGATTCTAGAGCATACACTTGCTGAAAGAGAGCGCAGGTATTTTTTGAACTGTGTTTGCTAGTGATGTGTACTTGTGGCTCCATACTCTTGACTATGGTTTTCACTATGGAAATACAACTGTATTTGCTCAGAGCTGTATTGTTTTGACTGTAAAAATACAACGGACATATATATTTCTTTGGGATAAGTTTTCTTGTAAAAGTGGGAAATATTATTTCAAATCGTAGCCATGACATAGATTTCTATCTTGCTTGCTAGGAAGTGTGGATGCCAGAATGATGTGATATGGATACGGCGTTATGGCAAAACCTAAAAAATAAGATATGGATACGATTAACATACATCTACAATTCAAATATATTTTATACTTTAGTATTCTCTGAAAATTTGATAATCATAATTTTCAGTAGTGGTATAGATTGTTTCATCATGGTAATATCAATGAAGTGAATGTTGCTAAATAAAGGAATCAACATCAACATTTAACTAGTAGATTTGCTTAGAAGTACTTGTTGCTAAATGTGGTGGTAGGTAATACTTAAGAAACACCTAAATGTCCACAAAGTCACATGGTTTTTCCATATGTGAATTCAAGAGAAAATGATGAAGCTTAAAATTGAAAGTTATACATATTATTCAGCATATCAACTTCCATATCCAAAACATATTCGTTTTGGATACTCTTACCAGCGACATAAAGTTGATTTCTTAAATTCTTTACTTAACAATTATTTAGTGATCAGATACCAAATTTTAGAGGATAGGTAATTGATATGCGCCCATTTCCCAATAGTACCTGAAAGTTGGACCTCTCTTAGGCAGTACATAGGTACTCGTTAGATACTAATGCAGCAGTTCTGGATCTTTTAGACTTCCCTTGTAAGTTGTGAATTGATCACTTCAATTCATTTTCCGCTACACTTGAAATACAAGAATTAATAAGTTCTTCTCTCCTGAAGAACTTTTTTTTTTTGGTTTTTTTATGTCAAGAATAACATTACAGCCTTGATGTAATTCTTGCTTTATGATATATAATATGACTAATGACTATCATTATACTAGGATAATCCCTTTGTGCCACAAAATTGAGAAGGTTCTCACATTGTATAAGGTTGTGTTCTTCTTTGTCATGTAGAAGAAAATTGTAGCTAGTTGAGACTATTTGTTTACGTAATCACCTCGATGAGGTATGTGTGTACTTTTTTTGGATGAGTTCATCCTGTCACCCTGAAGTGTGTTTGGTTCTCATTGCCTGGGAGGTTTTTAAGTGTTGAAAAATTGCTGTTGACAATTGTGATTGAGATGGGATGGTGTTGAACCGGACACCTGAACAAAGTTGGAGATGTTGAAATGATGGAGCTCATGTGGAGCAGCTACCCAAGTCTCTGCATTAGAAATCTTTAGAGCCTAGAACTGGTCTTTAGATGTCTCTATCAAGGGAAGTGACCTCCTTTCTGTGGTATCCTTGAACTAGTTATTCCAATCATGTATTGCATCTTTTTTCTAGATTCCATGAGCTACATGGGCAATTTTTTTATCACGGTCATCCCTTCATTTGAAAGTGCATGTTTCCCCATGCCTAGTAGATTTTGAAGTGTTAGAATTGCAACTGAGAAAGGAGTTGAGACTGGCTAGTGGTGAATGAGTTTTTCCATGGTGAATTTTATTCCAGAGAAAGTGTGAGATGGTGAATTGATGGGGCCCATGTGGAGCATCTACATAACTCTATGTATCAGAAATCTTTACAATCTTGAACTGGTTTTTAGATGGATCTGTCAAGGGTAGTGACCACCTTTCTGTGGTCCCTTCAAACTTTTTATTCCAATCATATGTTGATGCTTTGCAGATTGGACAGATATCGGCCCAGTTAAATGGCAATATTCTAACTTATCATGTGATAATGGATTATAATTAATGTTATGATTTATGGCTTGTGGTACTCGTGAAAAATTCATGTATTTTATGATTAAATGTCTTTTTCTCTTAGGCTTTCAGCATTTCATGTGCAATGATGTTGCTATGTTATTGTCTTTTTTGCACTGACACATCATCTTTTTGCATCAGCCCAGCAGTAGTTGCAAGGTGTGTCGCGCTCTTGAGACGGTTCCTTTTGCGGTGGGTTTTCAGACTTTGCTTAGAGATGATGCATAAACCACCATCTATGTTCTAGTCAGGCTCATTCCTTTTATTTTATCATTTAATCATTGGTTTTCTGCCTAATTATGTGTGAGGATCGGAGAATTAGAAGTATTACATAGATTTGCTTTCGGTATTGTGATTTGCATGTCAATCTGTTGTTGCAGATATAAACCGAGCGAGGAAACATTACAACAGATTGATCGGTTTTGCATTAACATAATTGCTGAGTGTGAGACTAGTCCAAACCGAAAATCGTTACCATGGTCACGATCTTTGAGTCAACAATCTGCGGTGTCACCAGCATCAACGAATACATCTCCTTTACCTGTGTCAAGTTTTGCATCGGGAGCACTTGTCAAGTCATTAATTTATGTCCGTTCTCTAGTGGCTCAACATATTCCAAAGCGGTCATTTCAACCAGCATCTTTTGCTGGAGCCCCACCCACATCAAGACAATCACTTCCAACATTATCATCTTTGTTGAGCAGGTCCTTCAACTCCCAATTAAGCCCTGCAAATGTTAAAGAATCTACAGAGAACAAAGAGAAATCTGCTATATCTGTATTAGACTCTTCAATTCCTGAAGAAATAGATGGACCAGAGGATCTTGATTTCATAGCCCCGGATGTTATCAAATGGCGCTGGTGTGGAGACCAACAATCATCATTGCTTTCACTGGAAAGGTGGGTAGTTTCTGTATCTTTTGGCTTTCTATAGGTGATTATTGTTTTACATTTGATTTGGTTAGTTTTTCTATGGTGGTTTCTTCTATTGCTAAATAAACTGCAATATACAGTGATCGTGTTCTGAATTCCCAAGACATGAGTAAACATAATTTCCTCGAAGTAGGTGCGGCAGCTCTTCTTATAGGGGACATGGAAGCTAGAATGAAGGGTGAACCTTGGCGAATTTTTGGGACTTCTGATATGCGTTATCTTGATCAACTGCTGCAGCCTTCATTGCTCACAACTGTCACCAATTCAGCCTCTGCTCGTGCCCACTTGAGAGCCATAACAGCATCTAAGCGCTCTAAACCAGGCGCCAATCAAATTTGGTATGTTAATCTTACTAGTCTATCGGTTTATTTTGATATCAGTTCTTTATTAAATTCAAGTTCCCACTGTTCCCACTACTACTATAAGTGCTGGTTTTTCCCTTTTTGCTTGAATATGATTCTGCTATGCAAATAGAGGTACCTGTATATAGTGGTGTATTAGTTTGTGTAATGTTGGTTGCCCTCAGCTCTGTTCATATATTCAAAGGAACGTGCGATGGAGTGCTAGAGCATTATTTTTTGTTTAGGCTCGGATTAAGAGTATCATAACTGTGATATGTGCTGTTGATGCAGTTTGGGGAATATGCAGTTTTAGTTCAATTGGAATTGTCTGGGGTGTAAGATCCGGGTGGGGTATTTTTAACTTCCTGGTTATGTGTTATTCTAGCATTTGAATATTTATTTCATGTTTTAATGTGGCGTGATCTGTGCAATGCCACTGATAAGAACATGGAATGGATAAAAAGTATTATCCAGTAGTAGAAACTTTAGGGTGGTAACGAGACCAGTTTGTTACATCACTTCAAGGTCTACCCAAGCCATCAGAGAAAACACCTTTACTCTGAAACTAGGGCTTTGATATTTAGGACTATGATGGGAAAGATGACCTTGACATCTCTGGATGGTTTAAGGATGGAATTGGTGTTTTTTTCAAGCTAATTGTGGTGTAGAAGTGGAGGGATTGCATGCTCTGGTATGTAAATAGTATGTGAAAAGTTATTGTGGGTAATGTTTGTGGTTTTGCAATAAGTAAATAAGAATTGGGTTTTTCTTGTTTGGTTTTTTTTGGACCCTCCCCCCCCCTCCCAGCGGAGGGGTTGCAACTTGGAATCAAAATAGGAAGGGAAAAAGAATGAAGAAGAAGATAGGTCTTTTTAGGTATTTGACCTTGAAGAATTATTGGAGAGTGATTATTTGAACTATGCAAACATCTTCAGAGCATTGTCATTAATTTCTTCCAGTTTACAGGAATCTTATGAAGCATATCAAATAAACTTTCAATTTAGGAAATTCTGACAAAGAAAGACCTTACTGATTCTGATAAGGACTCATCATAGATGAAGTGTAACCATTCTTTGCAAAAAGCAAAATAGAAGTGCCATGATCAAACATGATATAAAATAGACCCCACCTCTAACGGCCACAGAAAAACGATACAATCTTTTCACATCAATGAGTGGGAGTTAGAACATGTTTGATACATTGTGATCCTGTTACTTCATGGTAGATAAAATATGTGTGTCAAGGTTCTTAACAAAGCTTCAAAGCCATTCTGTCAAAAAAAAAAAACAAGCCTTCGAAGCCAAACTCTATTGCATAGCAGTAAAGTTGATAAGTGGAAGTAATCCGTGTTAAGCCTAGCATTTGACATTCATATGCATGCATAAAGCAGTAAAGTACCTTACTGATGTAAAATAAATATCTGAGAATTTCGATTATGAGGGTACTGTTCTGAGAATCATACTTCTCGTCTTTCAGGGAAGATTCACCTGTGGGTACCTTCCGACCACGTACTCGACAACTTTTCCAATACCGTCATTACAGGTATGACAGAATTGGAGATTTTTCCAATTTGTTAGTCCTAATGTTCTAGATGTTAATTAGGTATAATTTCCTCAAATGTTCGTTGATTTACCATCACGCTTTAATGAGCTAGCTTTAGTAGACTTTCCGTGCTAGTTACTCGCTGTGTGTTTATGCATATCGCCAACCTCCGTAATCTTATTCTTTTAAATAATTGAGATCCTTTTCATTTACTCCACCTAGGATAGTACTGATGATGACGATGGTGGGAAGGATGACAAATATTACTAGTAGCTTCATGCCCCCCCCCCTTTTCCGTGAAACCAATAATTTCTGATGCCAATTTCCAATCTCAACTCTTGAGTGTCAAAGAAATTAATGCCAACTTGTCGGTTTTAGTTTTATTGCAGTTTTCTGCATTCAATAATCAGTGTTCTTTTACATAACTAGGAGTATGTTTGGTTCTAACTGTGCTGTTGCAATTCACTTGATTGAATTGGTTGTATGAGCTGTTGAGCACTAATGATCACATGCACAAACTTACTTTTTACATGGTTCATCTCTCTCTCACTTTGAATACATTGATGTTTACCAGTGAACAACAACCTTTACGGTTAAACCCAGTGGAGGTAGGTGAAGTTATTGCTGCGGTTTTGCTCAGAAACATCTTCATCAACAGCTAATCTCATGACAGTCTCAATCTAAATTCACTAATAATAGTGGCATCAGACCCATCAACGGACGTACGGCTGTGAGCGTTCTTGTCAAACTTGTAATTGACATGTATGTT